TTCAGTGTGGAAAAAAAAACTCCTTTTTGAAGGGAAAATGGTCCATTTCCATGTTTAAGATTACTGATTGGTGGTTTGGAACATTTTTTGTATATTTTTCCATATAGTATTGGGAATGTCATCATCCCAACTGACGAACTCCATCATTTTTCAGAGGGGTAGGTCAACCACCAAGCAGACTATTATACAAGCTCTTTGTGAAAAGGATTTGAAGGTCCAGGTGTGAAAAGGATTTGCGGGGAAGCACTCAGACTGCCGTTTCCAGCCAGCACAAGCGCACCACACAGACAAAGTTTTTTTCACCAAACGAAAAATCTCAAGCGCCTTCGGCATTCGGCATATGTATACTTGTCATTCGGCATTAACAACAAAAGTTTCGAATCAATGGGATGTCGACCCACCATCGAAGATGGCAACTATGGCGCGCCCAGGTCTTCAACCTCTTCGATGAAGACGGCAGCGGTTCTTTAGATGCGGAGGTGCCCTTTTCGACCCAAGAAAACTGGGAATGTGACGGATTTCACATGATTTTGGTCCCATGAAATACAGGGGTTGGTAACTGTCCCATTTTGGGTATATTGGACATCACCTTATAGTAGCCATTATAGACCATATACCTAATGGTTGGGTGATGTTCAATGGGGACATTTAATGACCCATGAAATATGAGGATGTTCATGAATTTTTTGGGGCAGATATGAGCTAGCTGGCTCCCATTTTAGGGCATTGGATCCACAAACTTGGTGCAGTCGTCCATGTTTGGATCCGCAGTTGGATTATGATCATAGGATATCCCCAACATTTATGATCATATATCCAATATAGATTCAATATAGATAGATCATAAATATAGTGATATATTGGATATATATATATATATCCAATAAAATATAATAGGATCCACAATGGATCATAATAGATCCTATTTTCCCTTTGCGTCTCCCAGTTCTTTTTTGTGTCTCCCTGCGCCGAAGTCACAGGAATTGAACTTTGTCTTGCGTTCTGTGGGACTGGCGTCGGACTCTGAGAACGCGATCACGACCCAATGGTCTCCAGGATGGCGATTTTAGTGTCAGAAAACTATTTAGTTATCCTCTGGTAAACTAACATAGCAATGGAAAATCACCATTTTTAATGGGAAAACTGACTATAAATGGTCATGTTCAATAGCTACATTAGTTTACGAGAGGGTATTCATTTTGCGCGATTCAAGCATCCAAAATGAAAGAATCACCAAGAGTAAATGGCACATCTTGCTACAAATTCTCTGGAACCCTAGCTCGATCTTCTTTTATGGCTGAGATCATGACGTTTGGGACTTAAAGCCCGATATTTGGTTGGTTGTAAAGCAAAATGTTTCTGGTAGCTGCAGTAAGACTTCAGACATCTAAACATGCGAACCCTGAAAAAGTTGCCAAACCCTGTGGTTGTTTTTGTTGTCCACGTCAAGTCTTCTGGCTTCCATGCTGAGAGGGCTCGGTGGGTGGAATGCTTTGACCCATCTGTGGACTTGGATGGGTGCTGCGGCACAATTTCGGCACGACAATAAGAGCGTTCTCGGGATGCACAGAAACCCAGCGACAATCCTGCATGGTTCGGACTTCGCCAATTCCGTGAAGTCGCTTTTACCCATAACCCATGTGTAAGTGGGGTATAATATCGGCATTTTTCCGCGGATCCTTTACGTCGGACGCGCCCCAAGTAGAAGGAGCCATGGGGCCCGACCATGAGTACTTCAGGACGGGTATGGTACGTCAAAATGACCCGGATTTTATGTGGATTGTTTAATCCGGTACTAGAAATTGCCAATGGAGAACGATATTGGATTAGAATAGCTAATTGTTATCCCAATGGATTAGAAGTACCCACATACCAATGATATTGTTATCCAATCTAATGGTATTAATAACAATGATATTGGAGCCATTCAAAATACCCTGTTGGTTCCTTCTTTTCCGGTGATACGGCAGGGTTTAGCAGTCAGTGCATTACTCATTCAATCACAGGGTTAAATCCAAAAAGAATATCCCGACATCATCCCATTAATATCCATTAGCCAAAAATAAATCCATTACGATAATAATTATTGATATAATATATATATATACATATGTATATGAATCTTGATATCCCTTAACCCCAAAGTTCATCCATGATCCATCCATTACCCCATCTTTTGACCACCAAAGGTGGTGTGCCCGAGAATTCCAAGGCCCTCCGAGTCGGAAGTCCGGCGGATGATCGACGAAGTCGATGCGGATGGGTTTGGGGCCTCAAATTTCAGCAGCTCTCTGGGGATCTCCAGAGATGACATGTTATAACCCTCTGGTTATGACTAACATAGCCATGGAAAAAACTTATAAATGGAGGTTTCTAGCTGGGAAAATCATCTATAAATGGGCTATATTTACTAACCAGTTAACTAACCTCTGGTTATTTAACATAGCCATGGAAATGGCCCATAGAAATAGATGATTTTCCCAGCGAACGAAACCTCCATTTATGGTTGGGATTTTCCATGGCTATGTTAGTGATAACCAGATAGTATATACAAATATTCGATGAGATGCTTTAAAAACTGGTATCCTATTTATACATACCTATACTATTTAAGGTGGAACCTACTTGGTTGAAGGGATGATTAATGAAAATCCTTAGACGGCCAGGTGTTGCATGAGGACTTGGGCGGCAAAATTGGTCAAAAATGCGAGAAAGCACAGAGACCAGTCGCTTAAACATTGATGTTTACTGATATTAATATGCAATTAGTAAATTATTATTATCCATTATTACAATCTATTAATTGTTTACTTATTTTGATATATTTACTATTTATGGATTGTAAATGCCCTTGTCATTTTTTTGATTGCCCTTGTCCCACCATTACTTTAAATACCTTCAGCCACCCCACATGCCACATGGTCCCACCATTTGCGGCAACAGACCGACAACAGTGGACAGGTGTAAAAAGATCTTGGTTGCTTGCATCCCATCATTTATACAAACGTCATATGGAGGTTTCCGTTTTGTCATGGGGGGTACTTTCAGTCATCATCTATTTTAGATTGGGATTTTCCATTTTCAATAAACTGGAAACCCTCACATATTGCACAGACGATGATCCTTGGATGATTGGCACCGCCAAGGTCCGGGATGATCGAGTGGCCGGAATTCCTCTTTTTGATGTCCAAAAATGCCTGGGGGCCCCAGGGGGGCCCAGGGGACCTGCCGCAGTGAAGAATTGGATGACACCGGGGAGATGGAGCCATGACCGTTGGTTGGGAGTTTTTAGCAGGAAACGAAGAAACATCGATGTGCAAATGGAGGACGGGTTTCTGTTGCACTGCATGCTGATGATAAAACCGCAGTGAAACACGTGATGTGGTTTTGCCTTGATGCAGAGTCACCAATGTCATCCCTAAAAAATACAGATTTGATGTTGATTAATGTTAAATAATGTACCTTTAGTGTTACTTTTGTTAAGATATATATATATAAATATATAAACACTTATATATAGATGGATGGTTTTGTTTCCGTAAGATTTGATGCTTCTATCTTCCTAAAAACGGTTGCTTAAAAGGTGCTAAACAAAACACGAACACGGCGCCCCGGCGAGGTGGTGAAACCAGATGAGCAGCATCGCTTCGCCTTCGAATTCTTTGACAAGGATGGGGATCCTGGGGGATCCCCTGAGGTAGCGATGGTGATCGGCAATCAATAGGGGGATCGGCTGTGAATTTTGAATGATGTTTACATATGTTTACTGTCCTGGGGAACAACTAAAAAAATTTGGGTATCAATATGATCGGCTGTCAATTTTGGGACAGTAAACCAGCAATCTTAATTTCGGGGGACTTTTCCTGACATTTTGGTGTGGTTTACTGAGTTTAGTGTCCTTTTCGCGAATTGCCATAAATATGGGCAAGCTAAGAAGATGAGGATTGGGTTGATACTTAGACCCTGACAGATCAGGTTCTTAGTTTATTTGGTTTCAAGTTTAAAAAGTTCCAATCCCCAGGACGTTTCCGATAATAAATTGTGTGGGGTCGCACTCAAAAACTGGTATAACATCTAGTCATAAGGAATCTTCACTACTATATTAGGGTATTCAATCATCTGGTAATCACGATATTATCCTAACATATTGGAATAGTACTATATCATACCTGAATATATTAACAGTAACTATGGGCCTATATATATATAATTATATATATATTATACCCAAGTACTATATCATCCAATCATTTGGGGATACCTAAGGTTGCCGAGATAGTCTTGTCGGGACAACCCGAGCCCGAAAAATGATGGGGGGTTCCTATGGTAATTTAACGAAGCTATTGAAAATGTCCATGGAAATAGTGGATTTTCCCATTAAAAATGGTGGATCTTTCCATAGCTATGTTAAATTACCAGAGGGTACCCCACCATGGGTTTCAATACTAAAATAGTCTGATGACGATGAAAATATACGGGGTAGCCCGATTTGAGGGAAGCGCCCACATCGTTGAATCATGTTTGAATCCTAAAACTCCATACCCGAGGTTAGTTGAGCATGTTCGCTGATGGGGATGCTGAAACTGCGAAACTTCGGTTCAAGCTGGACACGTGTTACAAAATGGAAAACAAATGGAAGCATTTTTTAAAAGTGAGAAACACCCTGTTCTGACTGCCTGGAATCCATGGAAAAACAGAAAATAAAAAGCCTTCAGATTTGCTAGCCTCAGCAGCACAACCTTAAGTGGGACATGAACTTTGCCGGGCCGACATTACAGTATTTCTGAGCTTTCCTTTGCAAGCAAGGAGGTACATTGTGAAAGCAAGAGCCAATCCTAGCCACATCAGTCTTGTTTTTGTTGTTTGTGACTCACTTGATCCTTACATAAAATCACCCAGAAAGCATTGACTTCTTTGTGTGCAGCAGATCATAGAACTGTCCTTGAAATCAGCAACACTCACCCCAGCCATTTCAGCCATCCCATAGTTCCCCAAGCCTGGCGGTCCGACTTTTTTTCAGCCCTCATGGATGAAGCATATGACTATGCACCCAGTACTGAGCCCTGGTGCCTACGCCTGGAGCTGGGTTTTCATTGTTGGAGTGTGTTGAGAATGGATGGGGCCCAACAAGATAACCCAACTTTACCGAAAATCAGATGGGCTTCCGCATGGGCGCAATACGCATGCCGAATTTTCTGGCTGGTAACAAGCTCACAAAGACCTTTCCATATGTAGATGATGATGGTGGTGATGATGATCATGATGATAGTTTAGAAGCCAATTTGTTTGTTTCACGCTTGTGAATTATCACGCTTGGTTGTTGAATCGTGTGTGGTTTACTCAACCCCTTCCCAACGTTGAGCCCCAAACTCCATCTCCGGAGAGACAACGAAAATACTCAACGGAGCTCTCTCCAATGGCTTGCGGACAGAAACCTTTGGTGCTGTAAAGGATTCGGTACTTTATGGCACCCAACCTGTTGTATCACTTGGTGATAAGATATTCTAGATCTGACCGGGGATTATGGGGTGACAGTGTACTCCTCTACACTATTACTACAACAGTAAAAGGTACCCCGAAGTTTGTTGATTGATCAGCGTTTCCCTATTAAGGAAACTTTTAAAAAAAAGTTCATAGGAGGTATGCTGCATGTTTAGACACATCCAGCTCTCCATTCTCACTGGTTCAATTACCATCGTTCGTGCTTAAACCATCATTGGAGATCACTTTAATGAACCCAAAAAATCAACATTTCTCTGGCCAAGATTCCTCAAGGATTGACTCGTAGGATTGGATGATGGGAAAATCGAGGAAAAAAACTATATCCATTTATATTATTATAATGGTTTATGAAAAATTGATGTATTTATATATAATAATAATTATCATATATATTATCCTAACCTATAAAAAAACGGTTTATTAATTAGGGGGATGCTCCCCGAATAGTCATTTCATATGATACTTTTTTATGGTATCCCCCCAATTAAACAAAGGTAAACGGGGTTGATTAATCCAGGGTTGACATAGTAGTTCATGCTGTTTGACCATCATCTTTTAGCCATGGTTTCTGGGATGTTCCCTGAAATCCATCCCAAATTTGGGCACCAAATTTGGAGACTCCCCCAGTCCACCAGATTCGTCGCCCAAGGCAGGACCGAGAGATGTCGGAGTCCAGGGACGTTCCCCGGCGATTCTCTTGGTCACCTGGAGGCTTCAAAAAATACCAATGGTGATGTCAAAAAGATGGATATTTCACCATCAAAAACCATGGTGGATAGTAGTGGTTAATGGTGGTTAATCTGGTTAAAAACCATGATTTGTGAGCATCCAAAACATGAGTGAAGAACAGGATTTCTGGTCGGTGAGAATTTCATGTTTCCATCAGAGACGATGAATTCACCATCCATTTCTGAAAAAGATGTCATAATGAGGTTTAGTGGTTATAACTATAATATATCCATTTCTGGTTGGTGCTGACTGGAACCATGGAATTTTGAATGACTTTCCATTCAGTTGGGAATGGAAAATCATCCCAACTGACGAACTCATATTTTTTCAGAGGGGTTGGCTCAACCACCAACCAGATTTTGTTGCATCCAAAACATGGGTTGTGAACAACCATGAAAACCATGGATGAAAAACCATGAAGAACAGGTATTGAATCAATGAATCGTTGATATGAGCTTGTCCAAACATGGTGCATGCAAAAAAAACATTCTGAAAGATCTTCTCAAAGTGCGTTTAGCACAGAACATGAACCACTCAGTCTGAAATGTTCATTCTCACATCATTCATCACCACATTCAGGTCATGTTGGGTCAGATTCCATTGGTTCTGGTCATTCCTGCTGTTTTTCCCAGGAACAAATGGATCGATTTATTCCCAACCGAGAGCCGGAGTTGGAGAGCCGAATCCCAGCTGCAAACTGGGCATCTTGAAGGTGTTGAAACCAGCAAAGTGAGCGAAATGGAAAAGGTGCCCAAGTTTCAGTGGCTATAAATGGGAATATTATCCATGGGAATAATATGGTTTATAGGGATTTTCTAAGGGTTTTCTAGGGATTAACAGTGATTTATTTGGTTGGTGGTGACTGGAACATGAATTCTATGTCTTTCCATATATTTGGGACTATCAATAACTATCAATAACTATCAATAACTATCAATTATCACCCATCACCATGGTTTTTCCCCACATCACCCATCCGGATGTCAGGATTTGCGTTGCTCTCCGAGAGTTCAGGTCAACCCGAGCCTTGGCCGTCGCCCTGCATCGCTGGTTGAGCCATGTTGAGCTGATGAATCTGTCGCCGGAATTTGTGAAAGTCCTCACAGAAATGGAACATGAAGCATGAAAAAAGAAGGGTTCACTGAAAAAATGGGAGTTAACTTGGAAAACTAGAAGTGAACACTGGCAGTTAACACTCAAAAAACTAGAAGTGAACACTGGGAGTTAACACTCAAGAATTGGGGACATTATGACATTTTTTACTGGATGAATTTCTAGCAGTGTTTTTCGCTGTCCATCCAGCTGCATCAGGCAGCTATGGAAAATAACCATGTTCAATAGGTAAATCGTCAAAAATCCTTGCACGAAACGGGCCCTTGCAAAAATCATAGCAAAGGGTTAAATAACCAGAGGGTAAGTTTTAGTTGCTGGTTGGTGGTGACTGGAACATGAATTTGATGTGTCCGTATATTGGGAATGTCATTTTATCCCAACTGACTTTCACTCCATCATAATTTTCAGAGGGATAGTTAATTTATATCACCAACCAGGTAAGTTTTAGTTGATATTTCAAAGTTCAGGTTGAAACCACCAACCAGGTTGATATTTGAAAGTCCAAACAGTGGGATGACGATTTCACGACCAACACGCCATGGTCATTGCCATGGCCTGAGAAGTCAACTGGTGAATGTTCCAGCCATGGCGCCATGGAGGACAAATCCATGATGATCCCATGAATATCTCATTACAACCACTGATATATGTAACGATTACCCGGCCTGGTAATGACTAACAGTTTGCTATTGAAAATGGCCCAGTCGAAATCATGAATTTAGCCATTGAAAATGGTGGATCTTTCCATAGTTATGTGACAGTTTACCAGAGGGTATCCCACGTTTATATCCCAAAAATCCATGAATATCTCATTACAACCACTGATATATGTAACGATTATCCCATGTATATATCCCAAAAATCCATGAATATCTCATTCTTATCCTATCATTACAACCATTTTTCATATCCCATATGGTTTCAATGGCCCATCGGACGCCCAGGCGGCTGAACAGAACGAGAACAGCGCCTACACGCAGCTTTTAAGATCCGAGATGCTGGGGATCCGCGAAGAGAAAGGTGAGCCCTTCGCCTTGGACAGTGGTGCATCGGGTGGGAAAAAAGATGGGCTTTTCAGCAGAACTGGCTATGGATCAATACCTATAGATACATTGCTATAGTGGGATGAACATCCATAAATCCCAGCTATGACTTGGGGTTCACTAGGTACCAGGGTTTTGACCCATCCCCAACTGGGGTGAAATGTGCTTTGACTGTTGGGAAATGTGGATAGATCGCCAATCTTTGACATCTTCGAGTGGAAAGGGATGAAACAGCGATTTGATGGAGCTTTTCTGGTGGTCGCACATAAGATCTTCAAACTGACAAGATTTATAGCGATGCGCTAGAAATTGTGATTGAACATGATTTATCAAATACATTTGGAGGACTTAGCCATTGGAATTGTGATTCAACCATCAATGGATGGGTTTAAGGGAAAATCTACAGGAAACCATGTCTTTTTTTAACCACCAAATATAGGTCCTTGGCTGTTTCCTCGCAAATTTCCCCTGAAACCAATCCATTGAAAATTATATAGATAGTACCCATTGTGAACCACTTTTACATAACTTAGATATCCATACTTCAAACTGAACTATTCCATTTGCATCATTTGCCGGCATAGATTGCAAGTGATTTGGAAAGTTCCCTTGTGTTGGACGAATCTATCTTTTTGAGAGCCTGATGTGAAGTGCATTTTTTCACCCCATGGTTTTCATGGAGGTAGAACCAATAGATATTCATGGTAACGCGCAAAGGGTCTAGAGCTATCTAGCAGCGTTTGATTCCCACATTAGCCAGAGCGTACTTCGCAATCGAGCTGCACCGCTTGCAGATCAGGAAAGGCTTCAAAACACCTGACAGCAAGAGTCTCTTCAGATACAAGAGCAGTCCGCAGACAAATCAGGACCCGACAGAGACCCAAAAAATGGAGCCCTGCCAATCCCCCTGACAAAGGTGTCTATGGAACTACACTTCGAAGCTTCCATGTTTTGTTGACATTTTTTTAAGAGTGTTATGGCTGGTTGTGCTGATAGGTTGATTACAGCCAGTAGGATCTAAGTATAGAAATGACTTCAAATGACTTCAAATGACTTCAAATGACTTCAAAGTCTAAATTGACCCAGCATTTTACTCTTTTGCAGCCCCCTTTCCACCTTTTTTTGGGGTGTTGCAAAGATTTTCACCCCACCTTTCGGCCCAGGAGGATGCCTTCAGCTTGTCCCCCGTGTCGTTCCAGAGCTGCACTCCCAATGAGCCGCGGAAGGCACCACGGAAGATCAACAAGGCGCCCTTCAAGGCGCGCAGGGAGGGCCTGGCGCTGCCATAAACAACTACCATGACTGGAGATTTTTAAAGATACCACCCATGAAAAAAATTTGGTGATGACTTGGGGATAGTTTATGAAATTGGGGTATATACCCACATTGAGCTGAGATTTTAAGCAAAAAAAGGAAAATTCTGTATGTTCATGGCTAGAAGGTGCTAGTATATGAAGGTGAAAAGCCTGGTGCCTTGTAGTTGTTCACATCAAATAGCTGGTAAATATGGATGTGTGTGTAATGGAAAAAATGACCCCATAAATGGCACGGCCCATCCCCATATTGGCCAAACCAAAGATTCCAATCGACAAAAGACCATTTGTGTAGCCTACGCCTTGGGAAAGACAGCTGAGGTTTATCATGGGAGTGTTTCCAGAGAGATTTTTGCGCTGAGCTTCAGAGGTGTTGTTCTTTCGAGCCGTACTTGTTCATTTTGGATCTGATGGGATTTTTTCCAGAGATTGCCAGTGTAATAGGGACAAGAATGCTAAACCGTAAACTGAAATTTGGGGATGTGTTCCCCTAAATGGTCAAACAAATCCACTTGTGCCGTGGTGAAAAGCTGGAGTGTGGAACCATCTGGCGGGATTCTGATTTTCAAATTGATGTATAATTCCAGATTCATTAAATTCCATGAAAGCCCATGAAATCCCTTTCATGTGGTTAAAACAATGTCATGTTTACCATCCCCGAGTCATCACCATAAATATATAGCTGGTATGGTTACCATTCCCAGTCATGGATGGTAACATAGCGTTGTTTTACCCCCCGTGAATTTACTGAAAATATGGGGATTTGTAGATGATCATGAGCTTTAAAAAATGATGAGTTTTCGGATCTTTCTGATTTTGGAATCACATCGACGGTTTTGTGACTATTGTTTCTTTTCCACATGAAGTCACCATTAAATCCCTATGAAATCCCTATGAAATCCCATTAAACCCCCATTAATCTCCATTAATCCCCATTAATCTCCATTAATCCCCATTAAATCCCCATTAATCCCCATTAATCCTCATTAATCCCCATTAATCCCCACTAAAAATCACCATTAATCACCATTAATCCCCACTAAAAATCACCATTAAAAGTCCCCCATGACCATGAGACTTCCACTTCTGAAGCTCCGACTGCACTGCCATCCTTCTTTACTGCCAGGTGTTGGATGCGCCACAGTTGCAGGATGACTTCTACCTGACGCATGGCCATCAAGCTTGGGCCAACAAGCCAAATTGGGTGATTCTATGTGTATAATATATCTATATATGATAGATATATATATATTATGTGTATAATATATATATATACTGTATATTATATATCTATAGTTACTTATATATATATATATTGCACTCAATATATATATATATACACATAGATATACAAAGATATAGATAGATGTATATATTATGTACATATATATATATATATTATGTATATATATATATTATGTGTATATATATATATATTATATTATATATATATATTATATATTATATATATATTATATATATATTATATACATACACTGTGTATATTATAGATAAAACAACGATATGATGGTTCCATCATCAATGATGGTCTATATGTGTAAATGGTGGTTTCTGTGTGGTTTAGTATAACCCCAAGTTTTCGACAGATCCAGGGGAGGCCGGTAACATCAGCACGGCTGGAAGTTGGAAAAATAGGGAAATTCTACTGACAAGATACATGTTCTCCAATATTTCAATGGATTGGTTTAAGGGAAAATTTACAGGAAACCATAGATTTTCCCATTAAGTATGGGGTTTTCCTGTAAATTTTCCCTTAAACCAATCCATTGAATATTATCTATATAATAATTCTATAGATAAGATCGGACAGTATAACCTACAATCAAAGATTATCTATGTTGATCTAGTACTTCAGCAATCATCGGAGATTTTTCACTGCAAAGATTCGTGGCTTTCTCATGCTTTCACCAGGGATGGATAGCGCCATGGATTCAATGGGAGATCTCCAGGATCCAACAGATGGAGCTACGTAAACGTACCATATTTCTGGCCATATTTTGGGTGTATATTCCCTGAAATTTAGGCCTTATTTTTCGGCCTTACATACGGTAGGTACCTCCAATTTTAGGATCCTGAAATGGCCATTGATGGACCGGACCTATGTGATGTCCCAAATTCGATTTCCAGGTTTCCATCTGAGAATCGCCCGGAAAAATTTTCGTGGTCGAAGATATGGAAAATCCTGAGGAATCTGGTGGATTGGTCTCCAGGCAATGTCGTCTCGGAGACTCGCTTGCAACCGCAACGAAGGGGAGATTGGGAACCCAACCACCATCACTGTTGATCAACGAACAAGGGGGAGATTGTTCCCAACAAACCACCACTAATGTCTGTTAATGTCTGTTATTGTCTGTTAATGTAAGAGAATTGCCAAGCATATTGGGGGGCTCTCATGGATTTCCATGGACAGTCTTGCACCTCTCCCCACATCCCTTTTCCGATGATAAACACCTCCGTCCTCCATCCTCCAGTTGACTTGCAGATATATCTACCATAAACCTCACAATTTGTTTCCCCATTTACCCGGCCTGGTAAACGTTTACAGTTTGCGAACTGGAAAGATCCACCATCTTTAATAGGAAAATCAACGAACTAAATGGACCATTTCAATAGCAAACTGTTAGTTTACCAGAGGCTAAATCCCATTACATCCCATTAAATCACCATAGAAATAGTTGATTTTCCCATGAAAAGTGATGGTTTTCCATCGTTTTTTATTACCAGGCCGGCTATCTACTTGGATCCACGGATGGTGGATTTTTCAGCCTCAGCTCAAGGATGATCCGAAGATCCGGCTGGGCGGATAGCTGCAGGCTTATTGAGGATGTAGTATTCTTATTTATTATCTATTATTATCTAGTGTGATTATTATCTATTATTATCTATTCTTATCTATTCTATTATTATCTATTCTGATCTATTATTATCTATTCTTATTATCCAATATTATCCTAAGTTTATCCCTCTGTAACCATATGGAACCACATAAAACCATCCTGAACTCTGGTTATTGCCATTGTTTTCCATTCAAACCACTATTTACAGATTGTGTTTTCCAATAAACCTTCCATTTATTGGAGATTTCTTACGGTTTGGGGGATTTCCCATGGTTTTAATCACTTCCCCTCTTAAACCCTCCATTTATAACTCATTGTCCCATGGTTTTTTGCATGTTCCCATCAGTTTCCCACATGTTTTCACCTTTAGTTGGTGGCTTCACCAACTGCTACCAGTTTCCATCCAAAAACTTCCATTTCTTGGTTTTTCCCATGGTTTTTCCCATGGTTTTTCCCATGGTTTTTCCCATGGTTTTCCCATCCCAGGTGGGTCTGGGCAACTGCGTCTACCTTTGGAGCGCCGCCACGTCGCGCGTCACGAAGCTCTGCGACCTGGGCCCCGAGGACAGCGTCACGGCGGTGAGCTGGACACAGCGGGGCGCGCATCTGGCAGTGGGCACCAACAAGGGCGAGGCGGGGGGGTTGGGTTTAATATAGGCTTTATAGGCCTTTTATATAGGCTTTTATAGTGTTTAAATATATAGGGTTTATAGGGTTTTATAAGGTTTTATATAGGGTTTTATAGTGCGTATGTGATTTTTATATAGGGTTTTTAGGGTTTTATATGGTTTTATAGTGTTTATATGATTTTTATATAGGGTTTTTAGGGTTTTATATAGATTTTTTTTGTGTTTATATGGTTTTTATATAGGGTTTATAGGGTTTTATATAGGGCTTTCTAGGCTGTGATATGGTGTTTTATATAAACCCTATATGTATATATTATCCATTATTATCCATATTAAACAGTAGTAAACCAAGTTAACTACCATTATACCATGTTATGTACCCTGTCGTTATTTGACGTAGCGAACTGGGAAATCACAATTTTTAATAGGTAGATCGTCATAAATAATCTATAAATGGACCATTTTCCATAGCTATGTTAAATAACCAGAGGGTATATATGGGTACAATGTGTCAATGTGGGGCCCGCTAGTTATAATTTGGTTTATAACCCCCATTAACTATAGCTATAAGTACCATAAACCATATTCATTGGATTTATAAACCAACTTAGCTATCTAGGGGGCCCCACATTGTGTGTATATGGTACAATTAAGAGGCTACCATTATATGGTGTTATATATATATATAGTGATGGTTTGATCATGGGTTGAAAAAATAGTGTTTAATATAGTCTTTAACATAGTTTTATATAGGGTTAAAAGGTTCTACATATGGTTTAACTTATATGGTTGGAGATGGTGAACTTGTTTTATGTGGGAACAACAATGCCATAAACCACCCGAATGGTAGCCATACCACTTATAAAAATTGTGATTTGGGGAATGGTGCATTATGTGTTTTACTCACAATGTAATAATATGGAATAGTAATGGAATAATGATGGAATGCTAGGGTTTTTTGTGGTTTTTACATATGTTTTTTTTAATATATATATATATGGTTTAATAGAGATGATAATGAAGGATTAAGATTCAAAGGGAATTCACATGGGTTTTTATATGGTGTTTAATGCTATGTAATTTATTCAGAATTATGGTTCTATATAGTGTCACTAATGGATAATAGTGATCATATTTAACTCAAGTAACTTTAGAAACTTTAGTTGTTTTATTTGTTAAGGATGTGTTTGACTATAATCATTGCCGTTTTATGGTTGTGATGGCTTTGATTACCCACTTCTAATCAACCATGGCAGGCGCTGCAACATTCCCCATGGGTATTCAAATGGGAAAATCATTTAAGTTCATATAAAATGAGTAACGGAACCTACAGGAACTAAAGATTTCAGATATGTAAATCCTAGCTTAATCAAATAAGCAAATGGAACAAGGTATATTTAAATTGCCTATGGCCTATGACAATAAATAGTCCTAGCTTTAATATATTTAAATCATACAAGTCATTGGCTTCGCCACGTTCGCCACGTTCGCCAGGTGCAGATCTGGGACAGTAGTCACTTGTCGTTGCGCATTGGAGCTGGGTTCATGGGTTTCCCCATAAATTACGATAAATTACGATAAATGGATCTGATCAAGCAGTCTTTCTTCGAATTTCTTGAAGTTGGTGAAGTTGATTGGATCCACCCAGGGCAACGATCCTGCCAAAGTCTCCCAAAAACCGGCTCAAAAAGCATCAGCATCCAATTCCACGGATTTCCACAACCAATTCTCAGCATGTCCCCTGTTTCCCCCCCCCACGAGGCGCCTCAAAATTTCAGGTCAGTGTCGGAAGTTGCGCACCATGACGGGACACCTGGGCCGCGTGGGCACCATGGCCTGGAATGGCCCCTCGGAACCGAAGGGTTCATCGCTGGTTGACCGGAAAATGCCACCGGATGTTTGTATGTGGTATATCCATTGAGCTGGGTAAATTATAACGACCTCACTGTTCTCCCTCACTGGAATCATGGTTTATAAGGGAAATCATCCCCAAATGGCCTTAATTCAGGTTAGTGAAATATTATAATTTACCCAGCTTGATATAGTGGAATAGATCAATCCCCAAAATCCCCAATAGATGGTTTATTATGTAAACATGAAGATATCTGATGGATGTTGTATTATATGGTGTATAGTATCCATTGTATGGTGTTTAATACCATTAATATGTTCAATGTTTTCAATTGATATACCATATTATGTATATACATATATTATATCGTGTATTTTTCAAAAAAAATACTGTCTGACAACCACGGTTGTTTTCCGCATGACAAAACGGACTTTCTCCATATGGTGTTTCAGGAGAATAGTACTGGGTTAATGGGTAGTTGGGATCAATGATGTATAATGGAAAATTGTGTTGATATGTGTTTATCACTATAATGGTTCTGTTGGTTCCAAATGGCTTGGTGAACATCATGGGTTTTCTTTAGTGTGATTTTTTGTCATGGGATACTGCTGCTAATGGAATATGTCATGGATAATCATGGGATAGTAATGGAATCATGGTTGTAATACTGTCATGGTTAAATAGCCCATAGGGGATCTACGCACAATTGGGATAAAATGTCGGGGGTGTTTGATATTAGCGGGATGGGATTGTGGTAAACCCAATGTTGGTAAAGCAATTCAATAGTAAACCAACCCTAGTTTTACCGTAAATGGTCAAAAAAAATATGAGTGAGATGTTTACCATCGCCAGTCATGGTAGTTGTTTGTTTATGGTAACCAGGGTTTCCCACATTATGAGTAAGGGCTAAACAGCACTGAAAAATGGGATTGCCATATGAGTCAATGGCAGTTGAAGCTGCTCCAAGCATTCTGTGCATGGCAGATGCAGTTTTGGGAATCACCGAAACACCGAAAATATTCATGGTCAAGAAATTAAAAGAGAACATGCACACAATCCTTGAAACCATGTATTTATGCATGTACACATATATATATATACATATGCAGAAAAAAAACATATATATGTGGTGGCTTTCTGCTTTGCCCAGCCATTTTTTCCCAAGGGATGAACGGAGTGGAACGGAGTGGAACGGAGTGGGATGGCCTCTACAGTGGGCTGGCGGTTCTCCAAGAAATGGTAGTTGTACAATATGATTCACCAATGATAACAGATCCAGTAATTCATATTGTCAACAATATCTATGATTTCATAGCAATCCCAAGTGACTTTCAGTTGCTCACCAGTTGCAGCTCGAGGATATGTCCTGTCCACCGGAAGCAGAGATCATCATATCTTGCACCGGGACGTGCGGCAGCCCGCACCTTTCATGAGCTGCTTGGCGTATGAAGCTGACCTCAGTGGATTCATGATTCGATGGGGAATGATCCCAAGAAAGTGCGTTATGAAAGATATAGATATATATATATATGTATATTATAGATATACAAATAATTATTATATATATATATATTATAGATATACGTGTATTTATTTATATATATATATGATTAGCTTAGCAAATGATTATCAATTGCCCAGATTATATAATTATATAGACTCTAATCATCATGAAAGGCATCATCTCTTCATCGTCTGCATGTGAAGAACTTGATGTTTTCACGCCTGAGAAATGGTGGTTTCCAACCCATAGGGGTACCCTCAAATCGTCCATTTATAGATGGATTCTCCATGAAATAAACCATCCATTTTGGATACCCCCATGACTCTGGAAACCAAACCAGGGTGAGCTGCAGCCAATTTGTTTGTTCCGTCCGAGGTAAGCTCCACGGCCACCGGCAAGAAGTCTGTGGTTTGAAGTGGTCCTTCGATGAACAGCAGCTGGCTTCAGGTTGGAGGGTGGGATGCTGGGATGGGTAGATAGAATTGGGAGCCATATATAGGTATAAATATAGATGTAGATATAGATAAATATGTATATGTATATCCATATGTATATTATATGTATGGCCCCAGCTAGAGAGCCCTGATATTCAATAGCCTCCAGAAACCATGGTTGAGTAGGGGAAAAGGATTATATGGCTTAATGCTGGTAAAGCAATATCACAAACCATCCTCAATTTTTTCAGTTTCTCATCAAAATATGTTTGGATGATTTATGACACTACCAACATCATCATTATCCTCAACATCATCAACATCATCATCATCATCAGATTAATAATCACAACAATAATACCAGTAATGCAGATATCAGTATTGATAACATAAACATAACATCATGCCATCCGATTTATAACATCATCATTTTTTATGAGGCCTGTTTACCATCCCCATGGTCGTTGCTCATCCCCATCCGGATCCCATTTTTTTCGCCAGGTGGCAACGACAACAAGCTCTGCATTTGGTCGTTGAAGTCCACTGAGCCTGTGCTGAAGTTCACTCAACACCAAGCCGCTGTGAAGGTCGGGGATCCTGGTTGGGCTGGTGCTGGTGTTGAGTGAACATGGCCCGGTTGTACCTCTGGTTATTTAACATAGTCATGGAAGCCATGGCCCATTTATAGATGGCTTACCCATTGAAAATGGTGATTTTCCATGGCTGTGTTAAATATTGTTAAATAACCAGATGGTAGATGATTTGTAGATTTTAAGAATCAAGAATGGCGATAATGATTTCACGGAATTGAATGGGAAATCATATTGTGACATTGTGATACCTCTGGTAATGTACTAACAGGCTGCGAAGTGGAACATCACCATTTTCAGAGGTATGGATCATCTAGGTAAATAGTGCATGTTCCATAGTGGTGTCGAATTACCGGAGGGAATAGTCGTTGCCATGGTGATGGGGAAAACGAACTCAGAAGCAAAAGAGATTGCACTTATTTCCAGTTCAGGTTGGTGTTGGATGGTCAAGAAATTGGTAGCTGAATGTTGTGGTCTCAGCACGTACTGATTTCTGAGTCGTTGGGTAGGTCAATGGGTCGTTTTTTTTGCTGCCAGTGCAATGGGAAAATATACACGCACCAGCCAAGAATCATCTAAAGTTTTGCACGGTATGCGAGAATATGGAAGCAGATCTTGGATATGTTGGTTGCCACTAGTAAAACAGACGAATCAGATCTAACCAGCCAAGAAAATGCCATGCTTCGCACAGATCTCTCCGATTCTCATTCTCCCATGGCGCAGGCAATTGCATGGTCGCCCCATCAGCATGGCTTGTTGCTGGGCTGCGATGGTGAGGAAGGATTCCAGACCGAGCCCTGGAATCATGGTTAGATTGTGGGGAATTACCCTCTGGTTATGTCAAACATAGCTATTGAAAATGGCCATAGACATAGTGAGTTTTCCCGTTAATAGCATGGTGATTCTCCATATGTGACAGTTTCCCAGAGGGTATCCCAGAAGAAGCCTTACTTCAGGTTAGTGAAGTACTATCATTCAGGATGGTTAGGTGCTGAGGTGATGGTTTAGCCATGAAATCAACATTCCGGAGGCCAGACAACTGAGGTTGGCATCCGGAGGTGGCACTGCTGACAGGCAGGAGATGGGATATGAATGGTTTTTGTTGGGTTCTAATGATTGTAATGATAAGATGGCAAAGTGAATCCATAAAAATGTGGTAAAATGCTGGTAGCGAGGCACCTGGTTTTGGCCAAAGATGGGGCGGCGGATCGTACATGCAAGCCTCCATGCCCAAGTCTAGTGAGGTTCGTGAAAATTTCTTGCACATATGGAGATATCCACATAGATACCCTCTGGTAATTTAACATAGCTATTTAAAATGGCCATTTATAGTGGATTTTCCCATTAAAAATGGTGATTTTCCATAGTTATGTTAGTTTACCAGAGGGTATATAGTGCCGGACATATACTTAGAACATTGGTTTTGGAATTCCAAAACATGTTCTAAGTAGAGATCCTGGACCACTACTTAGAACATATATGTTCACGGGATGTTCTAAGTAGAGGTTTTGGGGGTTCCCCCATGTTCTAAGTAAGAATCTCCCCAGCTATCTACGTGCATTTTTGGAAAATCCTGTGTATATATAATATATTTTTAATATTGTAGTTGTCCGGCACTATATATTCATATAATAAAAACTTTCCAAACCTGATGTTCGAATTGTAGCCTCTCACCTAGAGCATCCGGATCCATTCGCTCATTTTGTTCAGCTCAATATATGTCCCGCTGTAGGATCTCGAATCTCGAATCTCGTCCCGCTGTAGGCTTTGGACCATTCCAACCGCTCAATCGGTCATATAATTTCAATATACCTCAATATAGACATCTCCATGTATCTTAACGCAACATCACACCACCTGTATATATAATATAAATATGCAGTGTTAAGTTGTATGTATGTATACATATACATATATTTACATGTATATATGATGGCATGTTCTAAGTAGAGGATCCTCATATGTTCTAAGTCACTTAGAACATACGTCCCCCTATTCGCCGAAAATGTTCTAAGTAGAGCGCGCGTACCCACCGAAAAATTTCCAAAACGATGTTCTAAGTAGTTGTCCGGCGCTATATACATTTAGCTATGACGATTCATATCCACACAGATATCGCCTAAGAAAAAAGCCGAGTTCACCCAAAAGATCTCCACCTTTTAGCCCCTTTCGGTCGTTTCGGTCGCCAGGCATATCCGCTTTTGGAACACCGTGAACAACATGCATCTCTCGTCCATCGACACGGGGTCGCAGGTCTGTAATCTGGTCTGGTCCAAAAATCTCAACGAAATCGTCGCTTGGCTGAGCCAAAAAAAAGCTTTGGGGATGATTTTCATGTCCATAAAATTCGGATTTAACATGATTTAACCAAAGAAATCGATATCTAGGGTCGGCGACCAGAGTTGTGTCCTGGAGTTTGCTTCTCCAACTCTTTAGGGGCTCCACTATCTCCAGACGTCGACTAAGGTGAGTACACATGGATATTCGCTCAATCAGCTGCTTGGAGATGACTGGGGTCACCTGGAAAATGTCCTTGGTTTATGGTAGATAATGTTTATCATGTTTATAAACCAACCATTATAACCATGAAAAATGGTTGATTTCAGTGGTTTCCTTATAGTTAATGGAGAGAATAATGTTTATAAACCAACTTATAACTGGGAAGCCCCATCCTGTGGCGAGGTACAATTTTTATTTGGGGGTTCATATTCGACCGAGGCCTGGAATTAATGTTTAGATTGTGGGGAATCCCAAAATGGCCCAACATTTCAGGTTAGTGAATTATGATCATTTGCCCAGATGATTGGAGGGAGGGGTTTCTTAATTACCCAATATCTGGGGATGGTAATCCATTTTTGATGGATTCCCCATCACAAACCAACCATTTGCCCAGATGTAATGGGCGGTTAATATTTCAGTGTGTGTGATGGGTCATAGGTATCAAATGGAGCAGCCGCTAATATCATGTTCCCACTTGAATGGCAACAAAGGCATGACCATGAAAAAGAAAGTGGGAATGAAAAGTGGATTAAAATTATTTGAGATAGTGCTTTTTTAAATATCTCACTATTTCTAACATCGCAAGTAATTTTGGACCTGTTTGTTGGACCGGATTAATTTCAAAGCCCCCAGTTATTGGACCTGATTGATTATGTAATAGGTATTTGATATAGGGACCACATTGATAATCTAAAATTTCTACAGTAGCGAATAGTCAAAAAATGAGATAGTTCTGAAATATCCCGCCCATTGATTTTTTGATTCTATTGACAATCACCAATCAAAGAAAGAACGCCCCAATGAGACCTGGATGAATTTTAAAGCGTCCGATTTTTGGAGATTGATTGTTAAAAAGCTTAACTTCTTTTCACAAGATATTTCAACTTATTCTGGGAAAATAAGAATATTATAATATTGATGTTAACAAGATATTTCAACAAATGTTTAACAATAATATTGATATTGTGGTACGTAGTTCAACTTATTTGGATATTAACAAGAAATTGTTTTTTGTTGAAAACGAATCTTGTTAACATTAAAGTTATATCTTTCCCAGGTCATTTTCTTTTTTCAACGTCCAGCTGCCCAGGATCATCCTCTGGAAGTACCCGTGCCTCGATGGGAATATTCGGAATATCCATGTGAATTTTGGGATTTTTGGGATTTCGGGATCTAATATTGATGATATGAATTTCATTGCGTCTTCTGAAACTCAGACAGTGGATATAAAAATATCACCCACTGACCAGATCGACGACGCAATTTGACGCCAGAAACGCCAGAAACGCCGTCGAAAGCCAGGTCCATGACGAAGGTGGCCACGCTGACGGGTCACACCTACCGGGTGCTCTACCTGGCCATCTCCCCCGATGGACAGACCGTGGTCACTGGCGCGGGGGATGAGACGCTCCGTGCCGTGGCGTTAAACGTTTACAGTTTACGAACTGGAAAGATCCACCATTTTGGATATGTTTAATGGGTCAATGGAGATTTGTAGAGATTTTTGGGGGGATTTAGACAAAGTTTGTAGATGATGATGAGTTTTCATTGGTTTTTTTGTTCTTTATCATGTCCAATTCCTTGAATCCTTGGACGTATCCACAGTGCCAGCTCGTTCTCCGCCACGTAGACTATTAGTCCTGTGTCTACAGATGTGTAAAATAAAACAACGAGATATGTATACACATTCCAATCATTATCAGAAATGTACTACCATCTGAATTCTCTGATATGCGCTAGAAGCCATGTATTTGCATCATGTATACACAAACATTATCAAAATATCATAATTTGCCCTCCTGTGAACTAACATAGAAATACCATTAAATCCCTTTACATCTCATTATTACCAGTGTAATGAGGATCCACTACATCAACATATGTGTTTTCTTGATTACATCTCATAAGATCAATAAATCAAGAAACTAGTAGTAACTAATGATATCCCATCAGAACTAATGATTTCACCTGTTGATATCCCATAACTAACTGTTGGTATCCCTTAATGATTTCGCCATGGGAAATCCGTCCACCGAGGTTTTTGGAACGTCTTTCCCAGTGCCAAGAGTCGTTCCAGCTCGGGGCTCTCCTCGTCTCTGCCGTTGGGACGGACCATCCGATGACCCGGAGAAAAAAAGGCTGAAAAACCATGGTAAAAAACCTCGTTTTATGGTTGATGTTGATTGGATGTGTTGAACTTTTCTTGGGTTTTCTGGGTATTTCGAATTTATCTGGCACAAAGATCGTGGATTCGTGGATGTTTCGTAAGGTCTTTGGATGATTGGGTGATCCATTGGTGATGCTATGACTTCCAGTCGTCAGCAGACATCAAGAAAGGGATAAGTGTATCTCTTCCGAGTCTTCTTGCGGATTGACACATTTGGATGATATATGATATATATATATATAATATATATATATATATTGTTATTCCCCAAAATCCTTGCTTACATGCCCCGTATTGGAAACCACCAACTAGTTTTCCCAAAGCCCATGGGATATTTCTTGGTTTGAGACACCGGATGTCCGTCCTGCTTTCCTAATTCGACGGCCAGCTGCAGCCGCGCTGATGCAGAGTCGCCCAATCGAAGCATTCTTGGTTGAAAAAACATCCACTAAACAAGGGGTGTCACCAACAAAATTGGTCCCTCCTCTGGTAATCCAATGTGGGCTGGAAAATCGCTGACTAGTTCGATGATTTTCCACTTGAAACATCCATAGGCTATTTTCCAATTGAAATGTCCAATCGAAATGGATAGTATATTGGTCTGTGCCCAAACATGGAAGACGCGTGCAAGGCCCCCAAGTTCTGACAACCTCCAAACAACCGGCACGGCCCCGATCATAGTGGGCAAATGCATCCCGCGCTGGCCATTTTTAGCTTAGATCTTCTGAAAGAACCCTGCGATTCCAAAGCGGGACCGTCGCAGTGTAGCATTTGGGGAGCCTCCGAAAGAGTCTATCTCCGTTCGCGCGTTTTCGGCGCCATTCAGAACAGATTCCCTCGGTCAATTCATAGGCCTCCATGGTGAAATTAGGTATGCCAAACATGCCATTGGATATGGCAAGTCCAATCCGCGGAGATAGCACCAAAGAGTTTCACTGGCATCAATGAATGTCGCAAATGATGCAACGGCGCATTGATGGCCAGGAAAAAAGTAGGATACTCATAAGTCGAGCTGATGAAGTCTGTACAGGTCACATTCCTATAGTCATACCCGCCATTTTCAGGTTCGATGGTAAGTTGGATTCTGAATTCGAGATCAAGATTGCCTCATTGAGTGCATCACCTTGTCATTCCAATCTCAAAGGACGACAGAAAATCTGGGTTTCAGATCACTGGAAACTTGGAAGAGCTTCCATAGTGGATTTCCCTCCCAGTAAACATAGTAAACTCACGGTAAACGCGATGGAAAGTCACCAAATGACAATAGGCCCGGCAAATCATCCGACCATCGGAGTTCAGCCAAAAAAGCCATGCTGTTCATGGCGGAGGTGATGTATCCGTTGATCCATAAAAATCACCATTAAACTCCGGTACATCACGACTAAACTCCATTAAACTCCATTAAATCATGTTTTGTTTCTTGACTAAATCCCATGAAATCAGCTTTGAAGCGATGGTTAGTTATCTGTATTGGTGAAATCTCATTCTACACATCGATTACCACTAAATTCCATGACATCACATGATTGTCAGCCTCAAAGACGCCGCGGTTTCTCACAGCGCTTGCAGGGGAAAGAAGGCAAAATCCAGAAGGACGACTTTGTGAAGTCGGGAACTGAGCTCCTCTTTGGCCAGTTGGCCAAGCGTTTCGTGCTGAATTTCAGCATTTTAAATATATCATAATATATCTAGTTTAATGGTTCTCTTTTTCATATGGCAGTGTGTCAAAACCTTGTACCACTAGTGAACATCAAAATAGCTGGTAAATGGATGTTCATCCCCCTAAAAATTGTCTTAATAGGTATTGATCCATACCCATATTCATATATAGATATTCCAAATGCTCCTGTGGTGTTTTTTCTATCGGCTCATGGAGGGTGTAAACACCCTAGAGCTTGGCGGAACGATGAGGGTTTGCCCCTAAAAGCCTCTGGTTTGCGAAGTGGAAAATCCGCCTAAAATTCATCGGTACATCGGTAGATCATCATGTTTGTCAATGTTTATCATCTATCAATGGTGGATTTTCCATGGTGTCAAATAGCCAGAGGGTATCTTGCCAACAGATTGCGGCATTTTGGAGAATCTCGAAACCATAGCCATCATCAATCATCACATCACATCGCGCTACGGGTCCGCCACGGGTCCCCATCTCCCAAGGCAAATGCAGTCTCTTTCAAAGGACTTCACCGCCGAGGCCACCGTGCCATGGGGTCCCATGGAGTTTTAACACCGGTGAGTCCTTAAAGCCATGACTTGGGGATGGTAGTGACCATGAATTTTTGCCTTTACCACACTACTTCTTTGGGAAAAATTCTGAAAAATCCTTGGATCTGTTGAAATTATGTCGACCAGATGCTGGTGTTCCCCTCAAGAAAGGTGATTCATGAGGTCACCGGCTGGTCTCGTGAAAAAGCCTGATTGTCTCGTGGGCCCAGATCGCCATCTTTGATGAATTTGTTGCTTTTTTATATGTGTTTCATGGTCTAAAAAGTCAATTCTGGAGGGTATCACCGGTATCACCTGCTTCGGAGGAGTTGGAGATGATGTTCGAGGAAGCCAAGTTCGAAGATGGTGACACGGAACAGCTCACCTACAAGGTCTGTCCATGGAAACCGCCGGTTGGACATATGGGATGGGGGATGAACCTTTCCTTTCGATGGGAATGTCGACATATCGAGGTGAAGTGAAGTCAGTTGTGAAATCCTGTGATTTTCCAATGTCCCCAGCAGTACTGTCGCTATTTTGGTGACGGATTTTTGACGGTACCGGGCTTCTGATCCACTGGGTGATCTGGTGACACATCAGCTCTCCAAGAGGTCGGTGCAGTGGGAGATAGCTAGTCAAAAATGATCCCGACGATTGTTGAATATCAACAGCTACATGTTTTAAAAAAAATAGTGAATGTATTGTCATGATTGCTAAGCTAAACTCAAGTCACCCACTGATCCAGACGTTCGATTAGGAGTTCGTGAAGATGATGATGCGGTGAGTGGCCCCATGGTGACCGTGTTGAAAGAGGCACTTTTTTGGGCTGCCAAAGGCAGTAAAATGCCGGCGTTCTGAAAGATACGTGTCGACAGCACTGGCAACTGATTGAATCGATCGAATGCGATTCCGGAAAATAAACTAAAGGAATCTAAAATATCCTTAGATGATTGTATTCCTGTTTAAAAATCAAGCTAGACTTCGTTGAGAAGCAGTTTGTAAATGGTAGGAATTGGAGACCACTCCTCGGTTAAGTTGGTACTTGAGATATCTTCAGATACCTTCTGGATTTCTAGCGGCAAGGAACTCGCCACAAATGGTGATTGCCGTTAGCGCAAACAATAGAAATTACACAAAGTTACACACTAAAATATGTTTAGGAGTTGTTATAGCTTCTTGTTTGTAGTCGATATTGGCGCCTATCCCCCACGTTTGTTGGTTAAAGTTTTCGGCCATGTCATTCTCTATCTGAGTAGATCCACGACTTTCGAACACCGCCACAATTTCAGCGTTTCACGGCTCCCACAGGTTTCGCTGAAGGGGTCGAGCAAGGAAAAGCAAGCGAGCGGACTGATAATTCTATTCGCAAATGATAGGGACTTCACTTTGAATTTATGGTGACCCCCTGGCTGATGGAACCCCTATTCCCATACTACTGCCAAACTACTCGCAAACCACTCCCATAAGATCCCATAAGAAACCCCAATCAGCCATAGGGTCCCTATATATGGATCATTGGCTGACCTTGCCACATATGATCTTTCGCAAGGGAACCTGTTTCCAAAAAAAAAAGTCGTAAAGTTTGAGAATTCCGAGACGTTGCCAAGCTATGGAAAAGAATTGGTGGAACATGACCAAACTGGGCATCTTTTTTTGGTGAAATGAGGCGCAGAAAATATGGCGATCGACAGCACACCAAATACCATGGGTTGTCGATTCACTGATCCAACCATGGGACTTGATCATCTTTATCCGTGCTCGCAGCAAGCACATCCCAAATGATTCCAACAAGACAGGGGGGCTTCAAATTCTGTGGAATTGAATCGTTTCCCAGGTTGGGCCATTCTGATGTCATGTCCATTTCTCCCGCAGCTGACATCAGCGAATCACGCTCTACACTCCTCCGATTTGTTCTTTACTACGCCGTTTTATCAGAGTCCTGATTCAGGACCCGGAGGGGGCTACCGTTGGAAGGGTGGCCAAAACAAATTCATGAGAATCAGGATGAGAATCAGGATGAGAAGGAGGAGCTGTGTTATTGCCACCATCACTATGAGTGTCATTGCCATCGTCGTTGTCGTCGTCGTCGCCGTCATCATCAGCAGTATCATAGTTTCTAGTCTCCTGATTACTGTTTTAGTTATATATTTATTAATATTATTGTGGTTATTATTGTTATTTATTGTTTTATCTATTTTGATGTCGATGTACACATGTTCGTTGCTGTGCAGCTGAAATTCAACTGCTGAACCCATGATGATTAGGAACAAAGGCTGTTTGAAAAGCAACAACTATTGGGGATTGGCTGAAATTCTCTGATAGGCTGGCTGGTTGAAATCTGAAAAGCAGTTCCCTTGCACTGCCTTTCTCATTTGCTGCCCATAGGACCTTACTACTAACTACGTCATTGAACGTCGTTTTCATTTCTGAACGAGCTGCTTGGAAGGATTCAGTTTGAAAATTTCAGGCTTTTTTGGTATGTTATCTAAACTGGTTGGTGGTTTGGAACTTTTTTTATTTTTCCATATATATATATATATTGGGAATAATAATCCCAACTGACTTTCACTCCATCATTTTTCAGAGGGGTAGGTCAACCACTCAATGGATTGGTTTAAGGGAAAATCTACAGGAAACCATGGTTTTTACCATCAAATATAGGGCTTTCCTGTAAATTTTCCCATCATCCAATTCTATGAACCACCAACCAGTAAATATATCTAATTTCTATCTGGGAAGTCCCCGTCCCAGAACATGGTGCACCTCAAGGGATGAATCAAGGCCCCCGGGAAGCTTTGAGTGGTAAACATGGCAGCCACTTTTACCCACAGTCATCCATGAATCACCATTATTAACCACCATTATTAACCACTAATCACCATTAAATACCACATGGAAAAGTAGAACTTCCATCCAGAACCACCAGTTATTGCTAGGCCAAAGAAAAACCCACCATCCCCAGGCTGCCACGACTGATGAAGGCGCGCGGAGCGCTGAATGGAAATGGGAACACGTTGCGTAGACTCCCTAAGCCTCTACAAATGGTGCATGTTGTACTCAAGTTCTGCTGCTGTTTTTTGAACATACCAATATTTTTTTAAGGCGCATTGCATTTTCTGTGGCTTTCTGACATCTACATGTCCATTGATCTCCCCATGGAATGTTCCATGGCTGACATACCCTAACTTCACCCTGTCAACAACTCGCCACTTCACCATTGGTCTCCAGGCATGTTTCCCCTTGACCTTAGCGATTGTGGCTCCTGGCATGATTTTTGCACAGTGGAGTGGTTGGTGGAGCAAGACTAGCTGTAAAAAAGGCGGAATATGACAGAATTAATGGTAATTATAGGTCATAGATGGTCATAGATGGTCATAGATGGTCATAGATGGTCATAGGGTATGGGTATATTATACAGATCGTATATACTCTACAGTAAATTATAACGACCTCACTGCGACCTCACTGGAATCATGGTTTATAAGGGAAATCATCCCCAAATGGCCTTAATTCAGGTTAGTGAAATATTATAATTTACCCAGGAATATGTACTCCACCGCTTGTTTTCCTTTTGAGGCTTTGGTATCTAGCCGACTAGCCATGCAATTGGGTTTTGATCTCTGAGATGTCTCGGGTTATTCCCTCTTTACATGCAACATCCAAGTGGGCGACTAGTATAAAACATAAAATATATTCAAATATTGGATTTGCAAAAATAATGCTTCGTTGATTCATGAAGATTCTCTCGCTGATTAATGGGCATCACGAGAATGGATGATTCAGTTACGTGGTTAATCAGGGGGTATGGGTTTTTGCAATTATACAATTATATACCACAAGGAATACTGGATCAGATAAACCAAATCATGAATAAATAGGATATTAGTTCAAAACGTATAACAGCAAAGAGTTGGCGCTGTGTCTAAATGATGTAGTTGTTCGCAGTTTGCTGCCATAGTCGCAGTGACTACCCATTTATTCATAGTTGTGGTGAAAGCAACACTGTTTGCATAGCTGTTGCGATAGCAAAAGCGAGGTGTGATGCCTTTATAGGTCACGTTGTTGCCATAGCAACCATATATCCTCTGGTAGTTTAACATAGCGAACTGGAAAGATCCACCATGCTATTAATGGGAAAATCCACTATTTTTATGGCGATTTTCAATAGCTATGTTTGACATAACCAGAGGGTAACCTTATTGGCATAGATATTGGGGTGTGATGATACCTCTACATGGACAGTGGCTCTGTGGCTCTGATGTCATGAACATGGCGGAGAATCATCCAACAGGTCAATGGTATCTATGGCACATGTGGTCGCTGACTTTACCCTCTGGTAATTTAACGTAGCTATTGAAAATGGCCATAGACATAGTGGATTTTCCCATTAAAAATGGTGATTTTCCATAGCTATGTTAAATTACCACAGGGTATATGAAAAATGTGTGCGATAGTTGAATCCCGAAATTTACTCTGCTGAATCAAATATAGTATAGCTACGATATAGAAGCCTTCCTATCAGTATCCACAAGCAACCTCTAAAACATCTAAAACATTTGTAATGTTATTCTTCTGAAATAACTATAGATTCATATATATATATACATATATATATATTATCTATCTATCTATCATCTATCTACCATTATACATACAGGTATATTCTATCTGTCATATTCTATCTATCATTATCTATATTAGGAATGTCATCATCCCAACTGACTCATATTTTTCAGAGGGGTTCAATCCACCAACCAGCTATAGTTAATGGTGATTATAGTGGTTAATCTATGGATAACCCCGCTGACCCTCATATATATATATATCATATTGATGTATAGTTGAACCACATTGGATTATACATATACATATACATATACATATATATATATATATCATTACTATTATTATTATTGTTATTATTATTGTTATTATAATATACAAGTACCATATCCATATCTATCTATCATTGCTGAGCGGAATCGGCGCTTGGCCATGGCAATTCTGGCAGTCCCAGGCGAAACTCCGGCCGATGTTGAAAGGGGGGATTTTTCGCCATGCGTAGGATGTAAAAAGCCGATGTTTTTTTGATGGGGTTTAGTGGGATTTTATGGTGGGTTTATGGTGTTTAATGGAATTTCATGGTGGTTTTATGTGAGTTTAATGGTGGTTTCATGGTGGTTTTATTTGGTTCAATGTGGATATCTTGTGATTTACCATCTACCGAACTAACATTATCTACGCCAAATGGAGGCCTGGAAGCTTTGTGAAGAAAATCGTTGCCAAGTGGGGCAATGGTGGTGAAAATGCGGATAGCAACCATGAGGGAAGATGATTTACCCTCTGGTTATGTCAAAATAGCTATTGAACATGGTCATTTATAGCTGATTTGCCTATTCAAAATGGTGATTTTCTATGGCTATGTTGGTTTACCAGGGGGTAATAGAAAAGAGAAAATTGGGGCGTGTTGCTACCCCATGACTCGTACCTGAAGTTGGAGATTTAGTGAGCAAGAATGAGGACTTAGCTTAGAATAACAAGGATTCGTAGCCCAAATAGGTACAAGTTTCAGTAAGAAGAACAGGATAAAAGACCAAATACATACCCAATCAGTGTTTGTTGTTGCAAAAACTGTATCTAGAAAAGTTTAGATATCGATATGAAATTTGGATGCAACCTGCCAAACAAACCACCGGTTTGAGCGAACTGAAATTGAATACGAGATAAATGAAACAGTAGGGATGTCGCCAACCAAAACGTCGGCGAGTCGAAGTCGAGTTTTTACCAGTCACAGCAGCCAGCAATGCCAGCGTGGAGCTGATGACACTCCATCTTCGCATTCCTTCGCATTCGCTCATCGCGAATCAAAGCAACATTCAGCCGTGCCATGCCCATATATGATAGTCTCAAATTGATGCGAAAAGGGCTGCCAAACTTGGCAAAGTTGAATGGCACAGGATGCCTTCAACACTTGCGAACAGGGCGAAACACTGAAAAACGATCTGGCAGAGCGATAGTCCGGGGATCGTATCCCCTTGATACACACAGCGTTCGTAATCCTGGTCATCTACTTCCATGGGCCATGGCTTCCGCCGGAAGCTGACCGGTCATGCCCTTGATAAGAGTCATTGTCAATTGGTTGATACTATATGTGTAGCTGGTTGGTGGTTTAGAACATGAATTTTATGTTTCCATATATTGGGAACAACCATCCCAACTGACTAATATTTTTCAGAGGGGTTGAAACCACCAATTAGGCAGAGATGAAAGTTTAAACCTCTGCCGGAACCTCGTATTTGCCCTCCCGGCAGGATGCCTGTAAACGAACCTGGATATCAAGTCCCCTTTTCCTCCCTCTTCCTTATTCGTTTCATATGTGTATAGCACTGGCAGTATCTCCCTACAAGCATCACCATGCGTTTTCCAGTGGGACGCGCCTATACCAGTGTATATTATACGTACATCTGGGCAAATTATAACGACCGAACCCTGTTCTCCCGAACCCTGGAATCATGGTTCGATTGAGAGGAATCATCCCAAAATGACCCAACATTTCAGGCTAGTGAATCATGATAATCTGCCCAGATGATTGGAGGGAGGGGTTTCTTAATTACCCAATATCTGGGGATTGCAATCCATTCATGGGATTCCCCATCACAAACCAACCATAATGAGATACATGATCTGGTTGGTGGTTTGGAACGTTTCGACAGACCGAAAAATGTGGAAAAAATGTGGTGGTTTGGAACATTTTTTATTTTTCCATAAAATATATGGGGTAATTCTTCCCATTGACTAATATTTTTCAAGATGGTTAAAACCACCAACCAGTGGTTCTTTACTCATCGCATCCTGGTTATCTTCGCAGGATGTTTTTACCCCCTGACCTTCTTGCTCACCTTTTTCGGCACCAACATGGAAAGCCGTGGCATTGGTGTGCTCTTAGCTACAGCTGTCACCGCAGCCGCTGGGCCGCGGAAACCGGGTTCAACCGGGTTCCAACGGGTGCGGAGATGGAGAGAGATGGAGGTTTCCGTTTTGTCATGGAGGGTACCCCAAATCATCCATTTTAAAATAGGGGTCATGAAATAAACCCATCCGGCTATTGGGGTAGCTCCATTTTCGGACACCTCCATAGATGCATCGATGAGTTTTTAACCATGGTTTCACCATGAAAACTTGGGACTTTTAAGCAAAGAATGGAAACCATCAACTGTTGGTTCCATGGAGTGCCCCAGGGCCATGACAGGGGGCCCGGAAACATGACGAAATCAGCCGCGAGGGAGCTGTTTCCCAATGGAATGTGGAAATTCCCGACCTTTTTGACCATGGGTTTTCGTTGAACGGGGCTGTTTTTCATATGAACGGGGGAAGGGATTAAGAACCATTCTTATCTGGTTTGTGGTTTGGAACATTTTTTACTTTTCCATATATTGGGAATAATGATCCCAACTGACTTTCATATTTGTCAGAGGGGTAGGTCATCCACCAACCAGTTATAGCATGTTATAAGCCATTGATCCATTGGATTAGATGGGTTAATCCACCGGGCACTTAGGATCACCAGGCTTGTTCTTATGTCGTGTGTTTACGCAATCTTTAATTGATGCATTGAATGGACCAGAATCTGGCTAGTATATTTTTATATATATACATACATATGTATTTGATGTATATTCTATGTACGCATTTGATATACAAACAGATATATATACATATATATATTATTATATGTATATATGTATAGTTATGTATAGTGTATATATATATTATACATATATTATATCGTATATATATATACATATATTATTTACATATATTATATTATATGATATTATATTATATTATGTTATTTTATATTATATGATATGATATTATATTATATTATATATATTATATTATATATGTGTGGATTGTCATCATGTTCTCCTTTAAAATTGCCATACCTGGGGGGGTATCCCCTCATTTTAAGACAAACATCAAATCTCATGAAATATCTATGGCATGTCCTTTTTCATGTAGATATTGATATCTAGCATATGAAAAATGAATTTAGCTCATATGCTTAAATTTCTAGGGTTAAAATTCATATGGCATCTGAAATACCCTGTATCAAGACCATGTCATTGCCGCGCGGAAAGGCCTCCCTGTTCTGCGTATCCTTGGCACAGTTCTTTGAGCTCGACACAGAGACGGTGGCCCTAATTTTGCGCGCCGAAGCTTGGCAGAGCTTCCAGTTGGAAGATTTGCCGAAAAAAAAAACAAGGGATTTCGGGAATTCTATGGGATTTCTATGGGATTTTATGGAATTGTCCATGGGTTTTGATGGATATAAATGTTTAGGGGATTTTACGGATTTTCATGGAATTGTATGTGATGTTTGTGGGATGTTTATGAGATTTTATGAACTTTATCCATCAGATGAATATTGATGGATGTGATTATGTTACCCTCTGGTAAACTAACAGTTTGCGAACTGGAAAATCACTATCTTAACAGCTAAATCTATGGTATCAATGGTTCATTTTCCATAGCAAACTGTTAGTTTACTGGAGGGTAACCATTCTTACGGGTCATTGTGTGTGGTGTGGTAAACCACTGCCATAGTCACCACCATGGCTCGGATTTCAACCCCATTTACACGTACATGAACGTACATGTGCATATTACATATGTTTAGTATATATTTAATGTGTGTGTATGTGTGTCGAATAAATGTTCTCACTTCAGGATATTTGAGGATTGTCCAGATATTACATTCCACGCTAAAATGTGGGGTTTGAAACATGGATTATCTCTATCAATCGGCATTGTCCCAGCAGGAAAAGCACGTAACCCCTAGAGGAACGACCGACCGAAGTGGCATCAAAGTGTTGGCTTTTAGAGTTCTGGGTTGATGATCAATCTAGTTTCTAGTTGGTTATTTCAAGCCATCGATAGTTTCGTCAAATGGAACCCGAAGGTTTTTTTTACTACGAAATCATGCCAGTGAAAAAAATGGGTCAGCGCGGACGCTCTGAGGGCGTCTTTCACGTGAATTTGCTCATCGTGTTGGCACCTGGCTCAGGGCGTCGAAGAACTGAACGGTTCGTGGATTTGGGGTCATCAAGTTTGGAAAACAGCTATTTGAAACCGGACATTTGCAGGTTCTTGTCAACCAACAGATCAGATTATCCCAAAATCATTCAAAATCTATTTTTCGAAGAAACAAAACATAGTTCCCGTCGTTCCCGTCCGCAAAATCTCAGGTCTCCATTTGCTTGTGGAAGCCCATGTCGTACTTCACCAGCTGGTGTACTGTGATCCACGCGCAGCTCGGTGAAGTGTGGCCAATCGTGATGGTTGAGAAACCAACCATTTTCAAATGAATGGTCATAAATATTCATATGGTATCCATGTTCATTTATTTTCATATTTATTCACAAGGTTTTGCGATTGAAAGTGGGTGTCTGGAATTTGATTTATTTAGGTGGATCCATATGTATGCAGATAGTTTGGCAAGGAGCCATTACATTTGAGTATATTTGAATGTTAACTACTTCATTTTTCTTAGATAAGTTGCAGATAAGTTACTTTTTGGCATCTAACTCCACGACCAAGGGAATCGGAAATATATACATGCATGCATATATATATATATGTATTTGATGGCATCGTTACTCTCATACCATAGCATACAGTTCTATAAATGCGACGACTCCGAAGATGCTTTATTTGAATGTTCTTTAGTTTTGCACGTGCATTGAAACTGATATATGGTGTGCAGCATTCTTTCCAACACCAAACCAAAAGAATTGGAAGGAATCATGAAACCCAGTGCCAAATACAACATGGGATTCAGAGGCGCACGATCAATGACTAACGAAATCTTAATCGCTTATCTACCTGGATCCAACCAGCAGGGAATCCATCCAGTGGCAACCATCGGGATCCATTTATGCTACAAAAAAGGGATCAAATCTGAGGATCTTCCACGGGTTGAACAGATGATTTTTCCCAATAATTTTGCATTGCGCTGAACGCGCAGAAGTATGAATACGTAATTTTCTAACCTAATGGGTTAACCTTAAATTAAAACATATTAAAACTGATGTCATCAGTTTGCATATTTTGTGGGTGGGCCTGTGCCGCCTGTATAAGTGTTGGGGGTTTAAAGACGTAAGGAGGGAACAAAATCCAAAACGAGGGGGTGGAATCCTTAACAGGGGGACCCATATAATAAAATCTGATGAACGAGCAAGGAAATAAAGTCTGACATAGGGAAGTAATGACAAATATGAATTTGAAAACGTTCAGGGATAGTCTGGATGGATATACTACTGGAACCTATTGGACCGTCATAGTAAATACTATGCAACGGGCGATTTTGAAAACACACGGGACTCCAGAAGTCTTATTCCGGGAAACCAGAACGGATCAGGATACAAATACATCTCGCTGGCATTTAGTACGAAGGAAAACTTGGATATATAACAAACCTTACAGTATCTAAAATCATGACTGCAAATTTGAATTCTAACCCCAAGTCAAATTCAATCAGCCCTGAATCAAATAAATTCCTTTCATATGGTTATAAGGATTCATATTTGTTTAACTGTATTCATATTTATACCACCTAATTTTAAATGGTCACTATTAGTGATTATCTAAGTCATTGGGGATGCTGGATCCTATTGCATCCAGCACCTCGGCTTCAAAAAACCATGGGAAAATCAACATATGTTGAGGAAGAATTTTCCCTTGGTTTCCATGGAAATATATAAGACATGTTTCATGGAAAAATCCATGGAAATGGTTCTATAATCTTTCCCGTTTTGTTCCATCCATGGCCGCAGCCAAGGTTTCACTTCAGCACTTTTGATTTGTCCACGGATAGTTCTCACTGGATCAGCTGTACTCACACTTTGTGGCTTGGTCATTTCAGCTGCGTTCAACCTCGGTATCTTATTGAAGTTATTCTTGTAATGGGGAGATAAATCGATCTGGTGGGATTTATAAGCAACAATATGATATCTTTACGTTGGTTGATGATTAGTTCGGGGGTTATGAACTTTCTACTTACTCAGATACATTGGGAAGCATCATAACCCATGAACTGGGAATCCCATTCTTTTGTCAACCATTCCATAATGGAATGAAAGAGGCTTTTGAACACTTCTCATTTGGGCTAGGTGCCTAGGTTGATGAATGGTTTCAATGTTGTGCATCCTGATTTTGGGATGATTTTAAGCCTCAAGTAGTGACCATAGTTTTTGGCATCCCCAAATTTCAGGGATCCCAGGATCCACAAAGCTCCGGAGCAACCAAGCTACATAAACAGCCAGGTTTGTACCATGGTATCACCTAGTTGTACCCTCTTGGTAAACATACAAAAAGCTATTGAACATGGCCCAGTCGAAATAGTGGAATTACCCATTAAAAATGGGTGATTTTCCATATAAATCACCATTTTCCCATGGTTTTCCCATGGTTTTCCCACTAAAAATGGTGGATTTTTCCATAGTTATGTGACAGTTCACCAGAGGGTAACCATCACATGCGAATTGATAATTCCAAGACGTCAAGCCACAGGTCCTTCACTGCATCCTGTTTTGCGACCTGGCAACCGGTGTAGATGAGATAACCCAGTTGCTGTATATGTGGAATATCACCTATAGAAAAAGGGCGGTAAGTTAAGAAGGAGTGCAAAATTTTTTGATAAGTACATATGGGTGATGCACCAAAATATTTGGGATTTTGGGAATGTGACTGGTTGGTGCTTTCGAACGCCTTTTGTTTCCATCCCACATTCATGACGCAGCAGGATCAACCACTGATTGCTCGGAAGCAAAGTTCTCAAAAAAAATTGGCCTGCACATGCTGTTTTTTTCACAGGTTGGTTGATGAAAAAGAGTGACAAGCCGCCATGTTTACCAGTTTTTTCTGGATACATGATGACAAATGGATGTAAATGATGGTTATTTCTAATACAATGATGTTTGACAGTTTAATTTTGTCCAAGTTTTCATGGTACTTTTAAACCGATCTCCATGGAAAATTCTGGAGCCCTACTATCGTTGATCAAATCCACGGTGTTCTGCCATCTTCCTAGTCCAATGAGATGCTAAAATGAGATGAAATGATGCATCTCCTTAGATATGATTGGTATAGATTAATATATAGAATATATCGTGTATATATATATATATATGGTGTATATATATAGAATATATCGTGTATATATATATATGGTGTGTATATATATAGAATATATCGTGTATATATATATGGTGTATATATATATGGTGTATATATATATGGTGTATATATATATTATCGTATCTATATATGTGTGTGTGCAAATATATATATATACATATCCCCAACACACAACGTGGTTTTTCATTGAGGTCTACTTTGGATTTTTCGTGGTGTCCAACATCTACGGGGGTGGAGCGCCGAAAGACCTCCTGCCCTTTATCGTCCCTGGGCCATGGATCAAGATGATCATAGGGGAGATCACTGCTGTTGTTTAACTACTGTCATTCATATGATCATTCTATTATCAGTGTTATCTTATTGATGAAAAAAGTTGTGAATTATTGATGATTAGTGATGATTATTGATGAGAATCACCATGTTTTAGAGGTACATCGACTGAAAATGATCCATGGTCTAATGCTTAGAACTGTTGACGGAGGCCATAGTGAAGTCAACCCCCATGAGTTGGGAGAAAAGCTCTGTGATATTTGGATGTGTGGGACCCAATAAGTGGTTCAGTTGCTAATTGAATGGTGGTTTTGTCCCCTTTATAAGGGAAGCTAGACCAAGGTTATTAAGCACATACCAGCCTAGGATGTACCCTGAATGTGAGGTATGAACGCCGGTGTCAACGATTCTTCGGGTTCCATGCCAACCGATGGGCCCGAGTAGTCTACTTTGGGATTGAGATGTACTATAAGTGATGGTCAATATTGGTAGATATGTCCCAAGTTTCTTTGTTAAACCAGTGAAAATGTATGTTTATGAGGGTTTCATTGCAGATTATCATAGATTATCTTCATAAACCTAGAGATTTCGATAGCCACAACGAATGTTAGATGGTGGTGCCCCCCCGCTATGGCTATGTTGATTTGTTCCTCCATGAAAACGAGTTTGAGATATCTACCAAAAAGCCTACTAGATGTAGGAGGTACCCTCCGGTCATTCAACATAGTTATTGAAAATGGCCCATTTATAGATGATTTACCTATGAAAATTGCTGATTTCTATGGTGATTTTCCATATGTGAAATTACCAGAGTGTATCTCCATTTTAGTTGGTTAAATCCCATTCATCCCATTCATCATAATAAAAATCACATAACCCCCCATGAAATCTCATTAAATTTTATAACACAGCGATTCCACTCCCTGGGCATCTGCGGGGCTCAGGCACATTCACCTCTTCTGCACAGCTTTTGTATCGGTTGGAACCACATCTGTCCACTCTGGTGTCCCTGGGCGTAACCATTTTGTGAAACCGCTGGGTGGAGAAAACCTTCATGTTCGTGGGCTTTTGGGGTATATATTATGTTTTATTATATTATAGTATTATTAATTATTTATTATTATTCATAATATATATATATGGATATAACTATGTTCATGGTATAAAATGATTGTTTTTCTGGATATATTAATGTCAACCAGTTCCAAATGTCTTTCTTGTGGATCTCCAGCAGATCGCCACCTGGTTCATCTCAGGTCACCTCATCGACGGCTATTTGTGTCTTGAGCTGATGATATAAGCAGTGGCAATCTGCTGTCAGTGGAAGATCTAGCGACCAAAAAAACACCAACCAGATATCATAGGGTGTATCATTCCTATAGATATATAAGTTATATCCAATATCATCAAATATCTGGATCATCAATTCATTTAACGGCTTGGAATATGGGGAATTTTACCCATAGGGTATTGGGTTTTTGCATCACTAAAATGGGATTTTTACCAAGATATTGGGAGATTCACAAAGGATTTGGGATATTTTTACATCACAAATATCTGGATCAATGGGTGGTGGGATCAATTGGACAATGGGATATTGGGATGGTCCTATTTTTCTCAGCATTTTTTTCGGTTTTCCGATTCACGGCATGTCCCCGTCATGACCATCTAACCACCATTTCCCAGCATTTCCGACCACCATTTCTCATCATGTTTGCTGCGTATTTCCACCATGTTTCTCGTCATTTTTCTTCGCTTTCACCTTTTCTCAGCATTTTCTCTGCATTTTCTCATCTCGCAGGGTGTTTTTTCCCATTGGTTCCCAGCACTGTGAGGAACTCATCCAACTTGCAACGCATCTACGGTCAAACCGGGGATTCTCGTTGGATCTTCCTGGGCATCGCTGGGCTGTTTGCCATCGGGCAGGCGGTCGGGATCTTCTGTTTCATGATGGTGATTGTAATCCGTGGTTGTGAAAATGTTACTTGTTGTGTTAATCACATAACTATTGATCACATAATAGTAACTAATGTTTCATATTAGTAACATTCGTTCTATGTTGTTTGTTAATATGATTGATCTTATTGTCATTATTGACGATAGTATCATTATTAACATTACTATCAATCTTATCATCAGCTTATTATCTCTGTATATCATGGAGACCATTTCCATGATTTTATCGCAGATCAGAATGCGTGACTGGCTCCAAGCAGCTTTCTGAATCCAGGATATAAGGGGTATCATGGGATATCTCATGGGATATTGACTACAATGGGGATATACAGGGATGATATAGCAGTATGGAAACTATGGATGTTAATTCTATAATGGTATATATGTATACATGGAATTAATGGGATATAAACTATATATAGAGATTATATTGGAAAATATATTATATGTTTGATGGGTGTACGCTAAAAAATAATTTGCTATCATTAGTGGATACTACCAACGATGCGGACATGTCATGTGATAACAATGGAAGTACAATGATATTGTATGCGACTGTAATGGATTATCACCAGCAAGAATTGGGTTTCATCAACTATTATGGGGCATATGATGGGGATAGAAACCCAACGATAATGGGATTTGTTAACAAGGAGTGAATATTGATTCGATAATTGGCATTTTACCATCAAAGATCGTGACAACATTGTGGTTTAAACATCAGTTGAATTCAACGAAATGATAATCAACTGGAATGCACAAGGGACATCTTTTGGAAGAATCAACAATCGCCGGTTCAATTAGGATAGAACTGGTTGGAAGCACACAAGATGCAGACATATGGGACTATATTAGGCATGTTATAATTCATAATGTTGCAGATTGGTGATCATGGGGGCATCTCCCAGAAATGGCATCCCACTACTTGCTGACTCCGTTCCCCATGATTGCTGACAATTATTGAGTCTACACCCCACTATGTTTTTCATGTTTTCTTGACTTCTCGTTGGCAGGTCTATGAGTGGTTGGTGCCAAACCTGGTGGAAACCTACCAAGCTTCAAAGGCCTTCGGGCAGATTTGTCCAAGATTGCTGGATTCGCAACTCGAATTTCACCAGAAATCTTGCTTTGGATACCTTAGATTGGGATTTTTTGGGGGGATCCAAAGTAGCTCAAGATTTCGCTCCGCAGGAGCTATTTTCACCATGGGCCATCGATGTTCAACATCCCCATGAATCGTCCCCATCAATCCATCAATCTTCATCTGCAATCCCATTTTCAATGGGAAAATCCCAGCCATAAATGGGATGTAAATGATTATCCACTAGAAATACCATTTTAATTCATGTACATAGTGGATAGCCTAAGTCATTTATGTACTATAAATGGCTAACCTAAGTCATGGGAGAATCCCAATAGCCATCGGAGGTTGGGAAATCGCCGGAAATTCATGTCGATGGGATGGTGGAAAATCCCGGAATGCCCCAATTCCCCAACAATGTTAAATTTTCGAAGTCAGGGTTTTTCATCCTCATCTATATATATATATATATATATATACATAGATATATATATATATATCATATATATCATACATATCATATATATCATATATATATAATATATATATATATATATCATATATATATCATATATATCATACATATCATATATATCATATATATATATCATATATATATATATATATCATATATATATATATTATATCATATATATATATATCATATAGATTGTTAAATCCATAATTTCATGGAAAATTCCCCACAAACATGGGATGACAGGTGTGGTACAGCCGCGCTCATCACCTTGCAGCCAGCTGGCAGTTGGCCTCACCGCAGGACCTGCAACGAAGGCACCGGCGATCGACGGTTGAATGGATTTTTTCGGGAAATGTCCCGGTTTTTTAATGGATTTAATAGGGATGTAATGGGGATAAATTGGGGATATGTATATATATATATATTGTGGATATCATTTTCATAAATTGGAAATATCTACCGGGATATTGTTGGATATAACCAACAATCACAATGGTTGTTGGTTATATCATGGATAAGATATACCAATCTCCCTTTTTTTGAACAGCTCAAAAAGGTATCCCCAAGATTTTCAGCCAGGGATTTCTGGATCGAAAGATGAAGCTCCCTTGGGACGCACCCGAGCTACCCGGCTTGGTAAACGTTTACACTTTGCGAACTGGAAAATCACTAGCTTTTTTGTTGGGAAATCAACAAACTTTCTATGGGCCATTTGAAATATAGCAAACTGTTAATTTATCAGAGGCTACATGTTTGCGAACTGATTCCCTGATTTGCTTGGTATTTCTCCAGATCCACCGCTTGGCCAATCGCGGGTTGGCTGAAGCACCCGATGCTTCGGTAAGCCGTCTGAAGCGGCTTCAGCTGTCTGAGAATTTTTAGCCATAAAAAATGTGAAATATGGGGAGGAGATTTGTAAAAAAACATCAACATGCCATTACAACTATTAACAAAACTACAATGATATCACCATAGCATGGGAAATATACCATCAACAATGGTGGATCAAAGAATTGCTTCAACCCTTCGGTGATAATCCCATAATCATTAGCATCCTATGGTGATAATCCCATAGTCATTAACATCCCAGATCATAACATACCATAGCATGAAACCAGCCAGATAAATTGATGGTTTTTTACTCCCAACCATAAGAAAATTGTGAAATATGGGGATGAAATTTGAAAAAAATCATCAACATACCATAATGGATCCTATGAAATCCCATATCATAATCATTAACATCCCATAACACACCATAAAAAATCATGGATCCATGCCTAAAAAGGCGTGCCACCCTGCTGCGGCTGGGCGAAGACTTCGTCTTCTCCTGGGCCGTCAAGCTGCCGGCACGCCGGAAACTCCCCGGGGAGTCGTTGAAGGGTTGGTGTTTTTGCCTTGTTTTGAATGGGAATCCCCATGAAAGAGCCATGGCTCATGGTTTTTGATGGGACCTTTGGTGGTGTTTTTTTTTTGTTTTTGCGAGATTTGTTGGGGTTCTTCTTAGTCGTTGGAGGTTTGATGGTTTCAAGCAAGAGAGATGATGTCGTTGACCACTGTTTTCTTTCAAAGCAAGCCATGAAGGGCTATACCAGTGACTGACTGCGATGGCCATCAATCCAAATCGCCATCAATGATGGATTTCAAATCGCTCAATGATGAGGAAATCTCCAAAACGGATGCTTTCAATTCCCAAAAAAATGGGGCCGCCGGCACCCCAATTCACTGCGTGTATTTATGGAAATTATGATCATATATATATACTATTATATATACTATTATATATATACTGTGTATGTATATATATATATATATGGACATATGTGTATATATATATATATACGCATGTGCCAGACACACATATACATTTATCCATGTAATCCCCTTTTTTGAAATCCCATGGGCTTTCTCCAGGCTCACCATCCAGCGACTCGTGAGGCCACGGCTAGCACCATCCTGGTGTCTCTTCTCTATGGACAATGCGTCATCCACCGATCTCGCTGAAAAGTCGCGGTGGCTGCGGCGATCGGATCGGACGGTGGTTGCGAAAGTTGCGCTGATCGTTCGATGGTCCGATGGTGTGAAAAATTGGAACTTGACATCTCCTCCAGTTTGAGATGTTGAAAATGTTGAAAATGAGCTTCAGTTCGATGGTTCTCCCACAAAAAATCCCACTTTTCAATGGGTTGGGTGACTCCTTGGGGAGGGTTTGCAGCTGCTGTCCATCACTTGGGATTCACCGAAAATGACTCTGATTTTGGGTATTTTTCCAAGGGCAATTTGAAAATTGGGAACATGGTGTTCTAAACCACTAAATTTAAAGCCACAACTCTCTCAAGATGTTCGCATGTTTCACCATGAATCTTCTAGTCCCAACATTGGATGATGAAAGAAAACGTACTTCGGACACCCCTGGAATAATGTGATAAAAACCATGGTGACCAAACCCTAGATGTTCCCAAGAAAAGCCATCCATAGAGACCATCAGACCCAGCTTTCACGCCAGGTTGCTGAGGCCGGATTCCCCATGCTGAGTCCTGGGGGATGCTGGTTTTTACCACATGGCAAAGTCAATTTCTGGTTGGTGGTGACTAGAACATCCATGGGAATAATATGGTTTATAGCACCTCAGTATATGATTATATAAATATATATCTGGTTGGTGGTGACTGGAACATGAGTTTTATGACTTTCCATATATTGGGAACAATAGTCCCATTTGACGAACTCCATGATTTTTCAGAGGGGTAGGTTGAAACCACCAACCAGATTTCAATTGAGGTGAATATTGACTAAGCAGCTACACCTCATTGTGCAGGGACCCATCCAAGATTGGGTATGATTGGGTATGGTTTTTTTGATCAATCATTGGACCTACCATAGATCGTTTTTCTTCTTCCCGTGCAGGGAAAGAACATGCATTACGCGACCTTATAAGGACCAACCGAAAAAATATGTCAATGGCTAGTAAGTGGAAGCACTCCGAAACCACCTCATTTTAGCGTACTCAAGTACCATATTTCAGCCGATATCACCTTTGTTGCTTTGTCGTTATTTCTATCACCAGCTCTCGTATCGCGGTCAAAATCTTGCAGGGTATCAAAATATTTTCCCCAGAAGATCACCAACATTTAGTTGATGAAAATGTTGATGAAAATGATTTACCTCTTAAAACTGCTTGGGAAAATTCCGATTTTCTTCGCTATGATCCCAAGGCGTCCTGGGGCATCGAGCTCTACCACGATCTGGAAGAGGTCCTGTTGGTTGGTGACTGGAACATCCATGGGAATAATATGGTTTATAGCACCTATGGGTATATGATATAAATATATATCTGGTGGTGACTGGAACCATGGAATTAGTTAGAAATGACTTTCCCATCATATAGGGAATTTCATCGTCCCAGTTGACGAACTCCATGATTTTTCAGAGGGGTAAGCGAAAAACCACCAACCAGTTTGTTGGACTGTTGGGGAAGTCTGACCGATTCTGACGTAATGTAGCCTCTGGTAAACTAACAGTTTGCTATTGAACATGGCCATTTATAGTGGATTTACCCATGAAAAATTGTGATTTTCCATAGTTTTTTGCAGGTTTACCAGAGGGTAAATGTTGTTGAAACTGCTCTATGGATTTCATCTTCCTAAGAGTTTAACGGAGCGATGATATGGGCAAACGGAGCTGCCTGATCCACCTATCTGAAACCTCGAGGTTGACAAAGCCCCCCAAAAAAAAACTAGGAAGTATAAGTGAAAAGTGATCCATGGAGCTTCCAAGAGGCTTGGGATTTACCATTCATTACCCTCTTCAGAATCTAACATAGCTACGGTTTGTATGGCCAGGTGATTTCCCTATGAATGCTGGGAACATCCATCCACTTCGTCCAGGATGCATCCTCTTTCCTGGCGGTGGTAAATCCATCAAAGGCTGGGAAGAAGAATTTTGGGTGTCCGTCGAAGCCGGTGTGATCAAACGCGGATGGCTTAGAAAATCATCGAACTAAATGGCGATTTGAATGGGAAAATCATCGAACTAAATGGTGGGTCTTCCATTGACCATGTTTGATTACCGGAGGTTAAGCCAGCTATTTGAAGGGCGAGTCTGAGTGTTTAGGTCGGGACGTGAAAGAATACAAAAACATGCAAAAACATGGATTGATTATTGCTACAATAAATACAGTGTGTTTATTGTCACTCTTTGATTTAGCTCTTTGGACTGATATTTTGATCATTGTAGTAATTGACCCCCAATATCAAAATAGTTTTCAAATATTCCCCCGATCACAGTAATATCTCATTGATATCATCACAAAATTATTATAAAATGCAATATCTTAGGTATAATATATATATATATATGTGCACACTATAGTGTGAGATTAATAATCTACTCACACCATATATCCTATATATCCTATATATCCTAGATCATATCCTATGGTAACCTCCCAAAACCCCATCTTCAGGCAACAAGTGTCTCTGAGACAGCGGAGCCCTTAAGAGTCGCACTTACGAGGCGACACCCCTGGTTGATGAGTTCGTCATTTCATGGTTTTAACCTGCTTTAACCATGAATCATATGGGGATATAAATGGATATGACTGCTAAATTCTGGTTGGTTGATGATTAGTTTGGGGGTTATGAACCTACTTACCAAAAATATTGGGGATGTTCACAACCAGTGAAACGGGAAATTCGGCTCCGCCGGCTCCCCACGAGTGGCTTGCCCTACGAGCGTCCCAGAGCGACTAGAGCTCTAAGGTGAGGCGCGCCCCCAACCGCCGACCCTCGGACGCCGGGCCCCGAAAAACACCAAAAATTCGGCTCCGCCGGCTCCCCACGAGTGGCTTGCCCTACGAGCGTCCCAGAGCGACTAGAGCTCTAAGGTGAGGCGCGCCCCCAACCGCCGACCCTCCGACGCCGGGCCCCGAAAAACACCAAAAATCCTTCAGGAGGGTGGGGGAGAGCTTTTTGGCCGGAATCCGGGTCGCTCATAAGCGTCTCCAAGAGCATTCCCCCCCCCCCGTTTTGAGGGTACCTAAAATCGGAAAAAAGCGCCGTTTTGACACATTTTTCGGACGATTTTTCGCTTTTCGAAAGTCACGTCTTTTGCGGGAGCAATGAAAAAAAGCAGAAAATGCTGTAAATACCAATACTTTTTAGACCGGAGATGCACAAAACACCGCAAATACCAGTGTTTTTGAAAGCCAAGCAAAAAAACACTGTAAATTACAGCATTTTTGGCAAGTTGATCGCAAAAAATGCTGGTATTTACACTGTTTTTGCAATTTCAAGAAAACGTGGAAGGCACGAAACACTGTAAATAGCGGTGTTTTAGCCACTTTTGGGCGCTGAAACGTTGGTATTTACACGGTTTTTTGCCCGTGACGGCGCCAAACCCCTGTAAATTACAGCATTTTTTGCACTTTTTGAACCGATGTTTTGCCTTGATGAACGCAAAAAACGCTGGTATTTACGCGTTTCCCAAAAAATCGAAGATCGTGACGTGAACGAAACCCTGTAAATAACAGTGTTTTAGCCACTTTGGGGGACTAAAACTGTGGTATTTACGCGGGTTCTTGCCAGCTGACAGCGCAATATGCTGTAAATTACAGCACTTTGTGCGCTGTTTATGTTCAATTTTTAAACGTGCGATGCTTTCACATGTTCTTTGCATTATTTTGCACTCTTCCACAAGAAACAACGTTGCAGATTGAAACTGGACGACAGCGTGACCCGAAAGAAAGCTGGAGGGAGGAGACGCACAGAAGCTTTTACCCACACACACAGGGGCTTTTACACAGAGAAGTCTTTACACAAAGGAGCTTTTTACATACAGAAGGTTTTACACAGAGAAGTCTTTACTCTAAGGTGCTTTTGCAGACAAACGTCTAGGAGCTTTAACTCACAGAAGTTTTTACACGAAGAAGTCTTTACACAGAGGGCTTTTTACACACAGACGCGTTTGCACACAGAAGCTTTTACACAGAGAAGCCTTTACACAGAGGAGCGTTTACACACCAAAGCGTTTACACACAGCAAGCTTTTACACACGCAGGGGCTTTTACACATTTACACAGAGTAGCTTTTTACACACAGAAGGTTTTACACAGAGAAGTCTTTCCTCTGAGGAGCTTTTTCACACAAACGTCTTGGAGCTTTTACACACAAAAGCTGTTACACAAAGAAGTCTTTACACAGAGAGCTTTAACACACAGACGCGTTTACACACAGAAACTTTTACACAGAGAAGTAGCCTTTACACAGAGAGTTTTTATACACGGAAGCTTTTACACACAGAGAAATCTTTACAAAGACGTGCTTTCACACAGAGAAGCTTTTACACAAAAAAGTCTTTACACAAAGTGGTTTTTACACACAGAAACTCTTACACACAAAAGCTTTTACACAGAGAAGTCTTTGCACAGAGGCGCCTTTACACGAAGTAACAAGTTGAAATCGGCAGCAGTTCTTTAGGAAAAACCCTTCGCAGGAGCTTTCGGGAACTCACTTGCTCCCCAAAAAATCGTCTATTCCAACAAATACGTTCCAAAAAACCTAAGGAATATATTTCTGAAGCAGGTCCTCATTCAGTAACTTTCACGCCCACACTGCGATGAAATGGAGGGCCGAGTGGTCCGGCGGAGCCGACGAGGGGCGTCAGCCCAAAAATCCTTCAGGAGGGTGGGGGAGAGCTTTTTGGCCGGAATCCGGGTCGCTCATAAGCGTCTCCAAGAGCATTCCCCCCCCCCGTTTTGAGGGTACCTAAAATCGGAAAAAAGCGCCGTTTTGACACCTTTTTCGGACGATTTTTCGCTTTTCGAAAGTCACAAAATGCTGTAAATTACAGCATTTTTGCGTTTTGACGTCTTTTGCGGGAGCAATGAAAAAAAGCAGAAAATGCTGTAAATACCAATACTTTTTAGACCGGAGATGCACAAAACACTGCAAATACCAGTGTTTTTGAAAGCCAAGCAAAAAAACACTGTAAATTACAGCATTTTTGGCAAGTTGATCGCAAAAAATGCTGGTATTTACAGTGTTTTTGCAATTTCAAGAAAACGTGGAAGGCACGAAACTGTAAATA